CCATGATTCTCATCGTTGATGTTTCTGTGTCTCTTTCCATCTCCCTTCCTCTCTGAAATCAATAAATTATGTTTAAAAAAGGGGGGCGGTATGTTTCATAAACACAGCAGTTGGCCACCTTGATAAAGACCCTGCAGCCTTACGCGTGGCCACGGTCATAAAGCGAAACCCGTGAGCCGTGACGTCGCCCACACTGTCTTCTGCGGACAGATCTCTGAGCATCAGAGCGGACGTCACCTCCTCCAGCCCCGGCGGCGTGGGCATCTTCGTCACCAGGAGGCAGGCGAGTTCGCTCCTCCTTGCCCAGCCCTACAGGTGCTGCGCCTTCTCCATTCTCCTTTTCTAACCGGTTCTCTGATTCTTCTAGAACTTGCCACTTTTCTCATCTGTTCCGTGGTTCATCCTCCTTCTGGTCATTTCCACAGCACCCTTTCCTCCGGGTTGAGCACACACGGTCCTCTGAGGCGTAGAGCCAGGCCGCTGCTGGTGCTGACGTGTCTGGGGACTGAGCCGCTGGCCCGAAGCGCTGGGCCAGAGGTCCTCAAACTGTTTAAACAGGGGCCAGTTCACTGTCCCTCAGACCGTTGGAGGGCCGGACTATAGTTTAAAAAAAAACTGTGAACAAATTCCTATGCACACTGCACATATCTTATTTTGAAGTAAAAAAACAAAACGGGAACAAATACAACATTTGTTTTTGCATGTGGCCCGCGGGCCGTAGTTTGAGGACCCCTGCGCTGAGCAGTCGAACGGGAGCCCCTGTGCACCGGCGTCCGTGCTGGGAGCGGGAATGACTTGGTCGCAGGCTCTCACTGAGCAGCCAGCAGCCATCCTGGGAGCCTCACTCAGGACCACCAGCTCTTCCCGTCCCAACGGCCCCTCCTGAGCCGCGGACAGAGCCCCTCCTCCTGGGTTTTCCCCAGCAGATCCCGCATCCGGAGTAGCAGCGGAACCCTATCTCATGCCAGGGCAGCACCTTATGGCTTATGAAGACGTTAAATTCCATGAACTCAGTCTGAACTGCATAGCCGTCCTGGCCTGCCAAACACCATCCCTTCCCAATTACAGGAGGGCCGGCAGCTCAGAGGGGTCCCACCACGTCTCGGTGGCTCTGCGCCTAATGGGGCCACGTGGTCAAACCGGGAACCAGGTGGTTTTAAGACACCAGAGTCGCAGGCTCATCAGGGCCCGTGCGGCAGACAACCCGTCGATGGGTCTCTCTCACATCGATGTTTCTTTGTCTCTCTCACCCTCCCTTCCTCTCTCTTTAAAAATCAATGGAAAAATATCCTTGGGTGAGGATTAACAACAAAAAGATGTACCGAGCGACAGACATCTGGATACACACTCAAGAAAACACGCTCACACATACAAAGGCACACAAACATGCACAGACATACACACAGAAACACACACGCACACCAACACACTCAGAGACGTGCGCGCGCACACACACACACCCCTAGGCGTCTGTTTTAAACAAATTCAAGTAAGGACTGTGCTTCTGGAATGAGGAAGTAGTTGATTTTTGTTTCCAATTAACCAACCAGAGCAGAAAGCGACTTCTCTCTCTGCCCCAGCAATGCCCCCTAGGGCGGCCATCCCCAGGCTGGGCGAGACCTGGTGCTTCCCACAGTCACCCCGGGAGACCGGCACCTGCAGAGGTCGGTCATGGAGGAACAACCCTGGGACTCGGAACAGACCGGCTCCGACCCCGGCCCCCTTTGGTGGAAGGAGCCCCCTGCGGCTTCCCGGTGACCGGTGACCGGGTGCCCAGGCGCAGCTGCCCGCGGCTCTGGGTCTTAATCCCTGAAAGCCAGGAAGGAGGTGTCCTCCACAGGCCGGCTGCTCCCTCCCCACTTCCCCGGCTGCAAGCCTGCCTGGCTCCTGGCCTCCCGTCTGAGGAGCGGACGCTCTGCCCCTGTGCCCCTGCCGAGTCCTTCTCGCTGTTTCTCTGCATTTCCCTCTTTCCTCTGCTCCCGTCCCCACTCTCCCTCATCCGTGTCCTCTGCACAGAGTAGATGAGGCTTCAGACAGTTTGGTGTGACTTCAGATTCCTGTCCCCTGGGCCTCACTTCAAAAGGCAGGAAAAGTCGTCAACACCTCTCTGAACAGAAACTAATTTACGCTTCTTCCTGCTTCCCTGGCCCTCCCCTGAGCTCCCTTTCTCTCTGGATCAGCAACTCCCAATGGAGGAGCAGGCTCCTGCGGCTGGGGTGGGCACAGAGGCCGCGGGGCCCGCACGCCACCCCAGCAGCAGTTCTTCCCGGCAACGGGGTGCTGCCTACCCATTTCACTCTCCTCCTCAGAGCGAGGAACAGGCACAAGACCCGCACGGAGAACTCTCCCCGTTTCATCCTCCTCCTTGGAATCGCCTTGGCTGTACGCAGCTCAGGCTCTGGGCCCAGCGATACCACAGAAACAACCTGTCCCAGCGGCCCAGCTCACACCTCACCCGCCACGCCCACCCACAGGGCTGGCAGGGCCCAGGGCTGTTCTTCGTATCCATCCTGAAGGGTTTCGAGAGAAAACTGCACTTGGAGTTACTGGCCACCCCCAAACCCGCGAGTCAGGAGCGGCCCACGCTGCCGGAGGGAAGGGGGTGGGGTTGCTGCCTTTTGTTCTGTAAAAAGCTTTATACATCCTTTATGCATCAGCTAGGGGCAGGGCGGCAGGTAAGGTCCATCAGGTAGGAAGACCCTCTGCTGAAGCTTCATGTGCTGCTCAAATCCATAAGCAAACAAAGAAATACAGCTTTAGGATGTGTGGCTCAATGGTTGGGCATTAACCCATGAACCAGGAGGTCATGGTTCCATTTCCGGTCAGGGCACAGGCCCTGTAGGGGCGTGCAGGAGGCAGCCAGCCGATCCATGATTCTCTCTTATCATTGATGTTTCTGTCTCGGTCCCTCCATCTCTCTCTGAAATCAATCAAAACGTATTTTTTAAATAGAGTCTGAGCATTACTGCCCGTTTCCCGAGATGCAGGCTCCTCGGGCTGAGGAACCTGAAAACCAGTAGGCAGCCGCCAGTGGGAGCAGGAGCAGAAAGGAGGGAAGCTGCTCCTTCAGCTTTGATGGCAGCGCCACCTGCTGACCAGACTCGGTCCTTCCCGGGCGGCAACTGCAGGCCGGCCCTGGGCCTTCACCTGCATGTGGCCTTGACCACGGAGGCACAGTCCGTGGCACCCTGTCCTTCCCTCGAGGGGCGCAGGCCATTGCTTGTGTATTTTAGGAAAGCGTCCCTTACTCTGTATCCGTAGACACAGCCGGCTGCCCACCAGGTGTCCTCCCTTCACCAGCAAGGCCCTCCGGTGCCTTCCTTATGCACCGTCCGCGGTGGGATTTTACTTCACAGACGCGGGCGGGATTCCTTTGGGATCCTTTTGCCCAGTGACTCCCAGGCCAGGCGCCTTGACCCCCCCTGAGACACGCGTCCTCATCTGTGAAGTGGGGACGATGACAGTGCCTGCTGGTTAAGAATACGTGAAACAATCCTTGTAAAGCACGTAATAGTGTCGGGGCCGTGACGCACAATGCACGCTCGGTGGGTACACCCACCGGTGAATGAAAATCCACATTGCAAAATCGGTGTTCAGCTCGGTCAAGTGGAATTAGGCAACATGCTGCCACAGGGAAGCCATAGATGCATATAACTGTAGCCAGGAATTGTTCATGGATAGGTGAGGAAAATCTTAAATTCAAGAATGACCCAGGACACGTGGTGTCAAAAGGGAGTGATTCCTAGACGTCTGCTTAGAATCGTTCTAAGGTGGTTTGCTCTCCACGCCTTTCCTCACTGAAAATAAGAAATATCCAGCCCAGCGGCGTGGCTCCGTGGTTGAGCAACAACCTATAAACCCGGAGGTCACGGTTCCACTCCCCGTCAGGGCACAGGCCCGGGCTGCAGCCCGATCCCCAGTTGGGGGCGTGCAGGAGGCAGCCGGTCCATGATTCTCTCTCATCACCGATGTTTCTATCTCTCCCTCTCCCTTCCTCTGAAATCAAAGAAAATATATTTTTTTAAAAGAAGTAATACACACATATCACTTTGTCAGTGATATTCATTACAGCATTATTAATAATTTTATACCTATAATAACATTTTCTAAAACGCCTACTAGTTTCAAAATGAGGTTTGGAACCTCTTCATAAACCTAATAGCACATTGAGCAGATTATAAACAATGTAGGCAAAGAAAGAAGCGTGCCTACGACTGGATTAAGCAGAGGCGTTTCGGGGAGCGTGTATGTGTGTAGCACAGGACCGTGCAAAACACAATTAGTGAGGAACTCAGAACCAGACAGGGAAATTAACACCAAAATGAAAATAGAGGTTTGAGCCAGATAGTAAGGGAGTGGATAGGATTTTGTTTTTGTTTGTTTGTTTTGGGGGGAGGTGTGATCACTTCTTTTACTTTTCCTGTTTAAATCTCCCATGCTAACCATGTATCACCCCAGAAACTTCTCATTAAGGACACGCTTCCTGTGTGCGCTCAGTGGGAAGGGGGGAGGGGGGCGGGCGAAGGGGACAGGTCACCTTTCAAAGAAGGTCACCTTTCATAGCAGGGCCTCCCCTTGGTCCTGGGAACATCCCCTCTGGGTTCTGTGGTTCATGGAAGGCTCGTCCCATAAAACGTATTTTCATATTAAAAATGAGCCCGGCTGGCATGGCGCAGTGGTTGAGCATCGACCTATAAACCAAGGGGTCACGGTTTGATTCCTGGTCGGGGCACATGCCTGGGTTGTGGGCTTGATCCCCAGTGTGGGACCTGCAGAAGGCAGCTGATCATGATTCTCTCTCATCATTGATGTTTCTATCTCTCTCCACCTCTCCCTTCCTCCTTGAAGTTAATAAAATTATATTTTTTAAAAATGACCAGCTGGCCTGAATCTGAGGTTTGGGGTCACAACGTGAGAAAAAATAAAGTGCGGCTCTGGAGCCTGCGTGTTTCCTGCACGAGCCCCCAGCCTGTATCCTCTCTCTTGTCTTCACTCTGCAGACCCCACGAGGGTGACGGTGCCCCCCGCCAGCATGGACGTCACCGTCGGGGAGAGCATCGTCCTCACCTGCCAGGTGAGACAGGACCACTCGCTGGACATTGTGTTCACCTGGTCATTCAACGGACACCGGATAGACTTCAACAGAGACGGGGACCACTTCGAGAGGGTCGGAGGGGTAAGTGTTGACCCACAGTGTCCGCAGGACCCGCCCGCGTGGCACTGACTCAGGCAGCTCGGTTCCCTGGAAAAGAAACGCAGTTAGTCTTTTTTTTCTTTCCTTTCCTTAATATGTTCTTACTGATTTCAGAAAGGAAGGGAGAGAGAGAGAGAGAGAGAGAGAGAGACAGAGACATCAATATCAGTGATGAGAGAGAATCATGGACCGGCCGCCTCCTGCAGGCCCCACACTGGGGATGGAGCCTGCAACCCGGGCCTGTGTCCTGACTGGGTATCAAACCCTGATCTCCCGGTTCATAGGTCGAGGCTCAACCACTGAGCCACACCAGCTGGGCTCTTCTGTGCACTTTTTAAAACGGAAATCAAGTACCAAATTGTATACTTTTAATTACCTTCAAAGCCATCATGATCGATATTGCAGAGATTAACTACAGATCCCCCAAATCTGCGGCATATTGTCACTTCCAATGAGCCATGCCCCAGCTGGAGTTGAGGGACCGGAGTATTCCGCTTCCCACTTTCTGTAAGTCACGTGCTTTGAGCCCCGGTGGCAAATGAGCCCCAGAGAAGCCAGACCCTGCAGTCGGGTTCCAGGAGTGTTCCGCACAAGCCGGGGTCCTTATTGCCGGGGCCGCCTCCCTGTTTTTAACAGTAATCGGCTGCGGCTCGCATCACTCATGTTCCCGTCAGCCAGGGTAAAACCAACCCGTTAGCCGCAGCGTCCTTCATGTGATAACGACATTTAGAACTCATTAAGAACTAATTGTGGCCACTCCTTCATCAGCAGGATTCAGCTGGGGATTTGATGATCCGGAACATCCAGCTGAAGCATGCTGGGAAATACGTCTGCACGGTCCAGACCAGTGTGGACCAGCTGTCCGCGGCCGCCGACCTCATCGTCAGAGGTATCGTGGGGGCAGGGGGGCTGGCTTTCGGCCTTAAAATAGTTCCGGGGCATCTTCTCCTGCACAGATTCTAAAACCTCCTGCGGTTGAGAATGAAAGTCCGAAGCGAAACAGTGTGACTAGGGGCGAACAGTCTCCATAGATTCTGCTCAGCCGTTTCCCACAGGAGAGGGTCGGGGAAGGCTGCTTCGTATCAAAGATCACCCCTGGGCCTGGCCGCCGGCGGAGCGGACCTAGGGTGCCTTCAGAGGAGGGAAAGCTGGTGGCTTGAGGAGGGCTCGGGCTGTGCTGTTTCAGGTTTCATGGGCGCCGACCCCAGTCAGTGTTTGAGGCCGGGGCTGGAAGCGTGGCTGACGGGACCTCATCCCCAGCTTCCCCGGGTTCCTCCTCCTCCTCTGAAGCGCACAGTGTGTCCCGTGCACACCCGCTGGCACCTGGGACGTCGTTTAGCTGGGAGTTCATGTGCGGGCAGGCAGACACTGGTGGGCATTTCGCGGCCTGGCCACAGCCTACTGGGCGTGAGCCCCGGCTGAGCCACACCCATGGGCTCAGTGCCAAGCCCCACAAACCATTCTGTATGGGAGCCAGTGCATGGACTGTTATGAAATACGTTTAAATGTAGAATCTTTATAAACTGGTGTACGCACCAGCGTGCCCGCTGGTTTTCTCACCCACAGAAAGGGGAGCCGTTCAGGACATCCAACTAATGTCTCGCCAGCGTCTCCCTGACCTGGACCCCACATGGGGAGCTCGGGGGAGGCTTCGTGGGCCAGCAGCCCTGTGGCTGCATGAAAATGAGATCGGGGGCTGTGGGGTGTGCCCGCGGGTGAGCCTCAGCACACAGCGCCGAGTTACTGGAGCCACAGAAAGCTCCTCTCTCTCCAGGCAACACGTCAGGGGCATGTGAGGGAGTTGCCAGCTTGAACTGTCAAGAGAAGTTAACTATCTGCTTTGGTTCCCCTTTAAATGGCCTTTAAAACCCTCTCAGTAATAGCACAGATGAGGGGCGATAGGGAAAAAAATTTCGACAGGGGCGGAGCCACCCACAGCAGAACTTACGGAAACGTGTTTATTTCCACTTTAAAATCACCCAGGCTGGTCTGCTCTCCCCTTGGGGACCAAAGAATTCAGTTGCTGAAAATTTATCCTCTATTTAATTAGGATAATGTTCAGATCAGCAGTTTAAACGCCAATAAATTACACTAATAAAAATTTAAATCAGTGAGACTTGAAGTTCCTAAATGATATTGTATACTTCATTTCACAGAAAATAACATTAAGTGCCAGGAGAAATTTGCCAACACAGCCTAAAAGAAAACCTAGTCTAATCAGTTCATGGGGCCACCCGATTAGCACCCCTTTTAAGCCACAGCCCCTCGCTCCATCTTCTCCGCTGGGCAGTGCCTTCCACGAGTCCCCGGGGCGGGCGAGGGCGTCCCTGCCCTGCGGGGGGTTTCGAATGTGACCCCATCCAGCTGTGAGTCTGGCTCAGACATCCTAGGTCAGTGGTCGGCAAACTCATTAGTCAACAGAGCCAGATACCAACAGTACTTCTTCAAAACAGACTCGCCCAGGCCGAAAACCGACTTCTGCGCATGGGCCACGAAGTCTCAATCGCACTGTACGCGCAACTGCACGTGGTATGTTGTGGTGGAAGAGCCACACTCAAGGGGCCAAAAAGCCACATGTGGCTCGCGAGCCGCAGTTTGCCGACCACGGTCCTAGGTCCCCTATGATCACCTGATTTACTCTCTCGCCACTGATGGTGGCAGGAAAGGGCGCCCTTCCTGGGAGGGACCAGGGACGCGGGCATCACGCAGTGTCCCCTCCGCAGAGCCTGCGGCAAAATGTCACGAGCCCTGACCACGGGAACATTCTGTGCAGAGGACAGTCATTTGCTCATTGAGTGGTTTTGAAAGAGGGACCCCACTTCCCCACAACAAAGCTGGTCAACATTACGTAAGGCCGTAGCTACATGGAGGGGGGAGTGGAGGGGGTTGGTGCTGGGACTCAGAGCCCTGAAGGTCCTGGCTTATCTCCAGCGGCCAAGGTCTCCCCACTTTCTCCGGCGCTTCCTTCTCAGCCACCAGCTGCGGGCTCAGGTCCTGCGGACACGCTGGGCACCTCTGAGGTCCCTCCTGTCGGTTCTGTGCACGGAGGGGTTTGGGGGACACTTGTCTGCCTCTGGGGCTCTGATTGTAAAGGCATCAAAGGAGCCTCATTGAGGGGGGGTGGGATGGGAAAGCCAGGATGTGAAGGCTGGTGAGAAAAAGATCTTATCATCGTCTGGACTTTATCTGGTTAATAAGGTCCCAGGGACGAAGGTGGCCCCAGTTCTGTGGAGGCGGCATTTGACGGACAGGCTGAAATGTTCCCGCCCCCGCCCTCACCCCCCAGCGCCCAGATACCCAGCCCCTCCCTTCAGCGGAGGGGGAGGAGGAAAATCTAATCTCCCGGCCGGTGGTCAGTGACTGTGGAGGAGGAAAGAGACATGGGGGCATCGCATCCTATGCCCTGTGATGGGCACAACTGTCATCATTACATGTCCCTCCCAGTCACCTTCTCGCGCCACCTTCTCTCTCAAGGTGGTCGATCGTGCCTTCTGAGCCAGTGAGGGCTGGTCTCCATGTCCGGGATTTGCACACGGGCAGACACAGCGCCCGTCAGGGAGGGGGTAGGGAGTACACTGCACAGGCAGGACCCCAGGCTGCAGGGACAGGGCCCAGGCTGCAGGGACAGGGCCCCAGGCTGCGGGGACAGGGCCCCAGGCTGCGGGGACAGGGCCCCAGGCTGCAGCGCCAGCCATGGACTGCCGGCCACGGACTGCAGCCCCAGCTGACAGTGCTCTGGCCAAGCGCAGCCTGAAACGAGCTCTGGAGCCTTCCAGCGGCGCCCGTGCACACAGGCGTGTGTTTGCTCTTGCTGTACGGGCAGGTGGGCGGGGACAGGGCAACGCTGCGACCCCATGAGTTTTCCCTGTTGTACTGTGAGCCCTGGAAAGAGCGGCCGTATCTCCTTCCTCTAGTTTTGGCCCCGAAGAACGGGGCATGGTGGGCGCTCAGGGAGGAACTGGCGTGGGTGGCTGTGGCGGGTGGATAAACGGTGGAGGAGCCGGGCCCCACTCCGTCACGCGATCCCTTTCCCGGACGGGTGGACACGCTGGGCACCTCTGAGGGACTCCCTCTCCGGCAGGTCCCCCGGGGCCCCCCGAGGCCGTGACCATCGACGAGATCACAGACACCACCGCCCAGCTGTCCTGGAGCCCCGGGCCCGACAACCACAGCCCCGTCACCCTGTACGTGGTTCAAGCCCGGACGCCGTTCTCCGTAGGCTGGCAGGCCGTCAGCACAGGTACCGCCGGCGCCGGGGTTGGGGTCCCCCGGCCGCCTGACGCTCGGCATCACCGGCGAAGCATGGCGGCGGCAGAGGCCAAGGGCGTGCAGACCCGGCCGTGATGGCGCACTGTGGCCATGTTTCCTAGGTGTCAGCCAACTGTGCGATCATTTACTTAATATTGTTCCTTTCTTCTTTTTGAATCCTCACCCGAGGATATTTTTTCATTGCTTTTTAGAGAGAGTGGAAGGGAGGGAGGGAAAGACAGAGAGAGAGAGAGAGAGAGAGAGATATTGATGTGAGAGAGACACATCAATTGGTTGCCTCTCTCATGAGCCCTGACCAGGGTCGGGATGGAACCTGCATCCCAGGTACGTGCCCTTGACCCTTGACCCGGAATCAAACCGGGGACCCGGCGGTGTGGTTACATTAAAAACGCCCGAGCTGGCCATGCCCTCGCTGACCGGTCGGAACCTCCAAATTGGCCTGTGTTGTTGTTTCGTTTCGGTTTCATTGGAGGGATGGACAGACCAGCAGTTACGGCCAGCAGCACCCGCTCCCTCGCCCGAGGGCTGGCTGCGAGGCCCGGGTGTCGGAAGGAGAAATGTGGAGCCATGCGCCCAGGGTCCTGCAGTTCAGAGGAATCGGCGAGCTTCCCACCACCTCGTCTTCTTTCCACTTCGCTGATCCAGCTGCTCAGGGTGCCTGTGTGTGCAGCAATCACTGTCCCCAGCCCCAGGCGGCTCGGGAAGGGCGATGGGAGCTGGCTGGCATTAGGCGCAGAATCCTGGCCCTGGCCGCTGGCCAGCAGCCCTCTGCACGCCTGTCCTCTCTGCTCAGTAGGCATGGCAGGAGCTGTTTACGAGGCAAAAGAGATGGTTGTGAAACTTGGTTACCAATAGGAAGTGCTGCACAGATATGGTGAAGAGAGGCGGGAGCGGGGGAGGGGGTGCTGAGGATGCTTATACAACACAACAAGGATTTGTTGAGCATTTACTACGTGCCACATGCTCTGCTAGTGGTTCCTCATGGGTTTTTTCAATATGCTGGGATAGATCCTGTTATTAGCCTTATTTTATGGTGAGGAAACCAAGACCTCAGACCCCCACAGCGCCATCAGACCCCCCACAGCTCCCTCAGGCCCCCCACAACGCCCTCAGACCCCCCACAGTTCCCTCAGACCCCCCACAGCTCC